AGGTACTTGGGATTTGGGTAGTAGTTATTATAGTAGAGGTTTTGGGTAAGTATATGATTATTAGGTACTTTGACCCTTAGGGCCTTGTACTGTAAATGGATCAGATTTAGGGTTTATCATTTTTAGGGTTTAGGGTTTAAGGTTTAGGGTTTAGGGCTGAAAGACCTACAAGAATCCCCTGATCATTTTCCCAAATGTGCTATAGTCTAAACTCCTAGTATCCCCCTTAATAAGGCCTATAGTAGTCCCCTATACAATCTCCTATATAACCCCCTTTAAGGAGTTTAGACTACAGCTCAAACTGAACTTTCGACTTCGACCCGCACCTAGCGGCGGGGGCAGCGGTGCTAGCGTGGACACAGCCTTGACTGTGTAGAGAGTGAATTTAAGTAACCTGGGTTGCTGTTAAACAGGAACTTAAATTAAGTTACTATAATATAATGTGGGAATATCGCACATTCCTTAAGAGCAACCCAATAACGCCTCCAAGGACACCAACCCTAAACCCTAAACCCCTAAACCCAAAACCCCGAAACCTTAAACCCCTAAACCCCTAAACCCGAAACCCCTGCACTCTAAACCCTTAACCGAGTAACGCCTCCGAGGACACTCGGCTTTCCAGTACCTCCTTGAGGGCCCCCAGCAAGGCTTGACCAGTCTCTTGGCAACCTTCAAGCCTAAGTTCAGCAGTGAAGGGTTTAGGGTTTAAGGCTTAGCGTCATACTTAGGGCACCCCTTTCCGAATGTTCAGTTGTATTAATGTTGAATCCCCATTAGCGTGGGGGCTCCCAATGAAGTAAGGCTTTTGCTCAATACAGTAACGTTTTCTGCTGGAAAACATTAGGAAAGCTTTTGATGAGGCCAAAACGCCTTTGGTTTTAAAGCCAGGCCTTTACATGAAGAGGACAGGCTCTATTCCCGCTCGAATCTGGAATCTGATGCCACCAAACAATGGATTTCTTATTAAAGCGCTTATTCCAACAAGCTAGGCAACCATCCTTAATAACATAAATGATTTGGGAGGGGGGGCTCAATAATCTAAAGTTTTTGGGGCTGGGTCAATGGTGAGGCCGTTCACAATTTGTTTTGAAATGATTGTACATCGTTTCTAGTAGACTTGAGTTGGTTTTAAACATATGTTCTATGATTCTAATTAGATTGTAATTGCCCTGCATGGGGTTTTGAAGGCCGGGCTTTTCAAAGGCCGAGGACCCTGCCCTTGCTATTCTCTTGAAAGCTAAACTGAGCAAGTCCTTATGAATTCAATAAAAGCCGAGGGATCAACCCTAAACCCAAAACTCTAAACCCTAAATAATAGGGGTCTTAGGATCCCCCAGACCGTCAATTTGTTCGAAGGCCTTTTTATTGTAGAAGTGCGCCTTTTTGCTTAAAGGAGGCCACGCTAATTAGGCTTCAACATTAAGGAGACACCAAAATAAAGTTTAGGGTCTAGGGTTTAGGTACTTCCTGGAGTACCTAGAAGCTGATCCGTAGCAACGCCGGTGACGCTGCAAAGCCACTGGGCCACCGCCGCATCATTGATCTTTTCTGAAAGGATCTCAAGTAGACCGCTTGCATTTGCTTGGGAGCAAATATGTTGGAGTCTGTTCTTTAGGTTGATGTTGCCGCCTTCTGCGTCTAGTTCATTGCACTTCTGCAAAGTTGCGTTGAAAAGATACGACATCAACTCGGATGCTTCGTCCGCCTCCTCTGCGTCAGCAACATCCGGGTCAGTCGCAACCGCGGCAAAGGAGTCCCTGATGCCAGACATCGTCTGGCGGCTAAAGGTCACGGCCTGGTGCAGTGCAATGGAGCTCGCGGATGCGGAGGATAGGAGAGAAGAACTCGGCCCAGTAAACGAAGACGTTCCGCGGATGCCCTGGCATCTCAATACCAGCGAGCAGAGGGTCAAGCAGCTAACCCATCGGAGCATTGCTCTGGTGAAAGTATTTGTCAGACTGAAGCTCGACTGGGCCAAAAAAGGCTGCAAGATGTAATGCAGGTGCCTGAATAGTTGTCAATGATTGCCAGTATAGTTTTGAGGTCCATTTGCGATGCATTTGCAATGCTGTATAATATATCTATACGAGGAATTTGGGACGACGCTATTGGTACTTATTTGGGGATACGGGATTCTACAATACCCAGCATTTGGCTCCACTAAAAAAAGCAAAGCGCAAATCACCAGAATTGACCGTCATCGTAAGCAGGAGGGGGTAAAGAAACAGCAAAAGAAACCTAAATCCCGAATCCCTCAAACGCCCCACATGTTGAAGGCTATTCCCAGCCTGATAATGAGCCTGCGATGTCCTCCACGAGGCTTCCGTCCCCGAAGCCTTCCAGGCATCAGCGCACCCCCTAGGAATAAGACTCACCCCCTATATGAGCTATAGTCTAAACTCCTAGTATCCCCCTTAATAAGCCCTATAGTAGTCCCATATACAATTCCCTATATAACCCCCTTTAAGGAGTTTAGACCCTAAACCCTAAACCCTAAACCCTATAGAACCCTATAGAACCCTATAGAACCCTATATTCCCCTTAAAGGGGCCCCTATATAACCCCCTTTAAAAAATTTAGACTATAGCTCATATGGTCTGAGGCTTGGGGTTGACCGGACCTCCAAGAGTTTAGGTCTACCTGAACCCCAAAAGCATGTAAAATAATGGCCTTTAGGGCTATTATTATGGGTTTAGGTTTAGGGTTTAACACAACAACAAAAACAAGACTGTTCTAGATGAGGTCGGGGTTTAGGTACGGGTCGAGGTTTAGGTTCAGAGTTAAGCGCCTGTAGTCTGATGTACTACCCACTTGGAGGCTTATGGGACTGAATACCTACTTACCTGAGCCCCAAGAGTATGTAAGATAATGGCCTTTTGGGCTAGTTTATGGGTGTTTGGGCTATTATTTTACCTACTTTGGGGGTTTAGGTATAACCTGGTTGTATAAACCTAGCTAGAATCCCCCCAAATGGCCTTACAGGGGTTCCCCTGATCAAGCGTGGGGTTGTAACCCCAACTATAACTAGTTACTAAGTCCCGTGAACCTCCAAGTACTACAGGGGCCTCTATAAATACCAATATCATTATGAGGTCTATTTGAGGTACCACATAGTATACTTCTACGAGGAATATGGAACAATAACATTGCTAATTATTTAGGCGCCTATAGCAGGTTTAGGGTTTAGGGCTGTTTGGAGTTTAAGGAACTGCTTGAGGAGAGCGAGCTGGTCACGGATTAGTAGGGTTTAGGATTTAGGTTTAAGGTTTTAGGGATTAGGGTTTCGGGCTTGAGGTTTAGGGTCTTAGACTTTGGGCCAGTCGGCATGTAATACGTCCGTGCAACTGGATTCTACACCTGCTGAAACAACCTAGGCTATGAGCCCAAAGCCTTAACCCTTATTAGCCAACAACTCAAACCCTAAGCCCTAAAGGATGGATGATGCAGCCGCCTCCATGTTGTTTGCGTTTATAATATCATGTAATCATGTCTGCTCGAGCGCATACTGCTCATCCTCCGAAAATGCTACAGGAATCTCTTGTTATGTGGTAGTTTCCCTAAATAAGGGGACCCCATATAGACCCCAAAATAAGATAGTCCTTACTATAGGGACCCCCAAAAAGGTACTCTTAATTGTAGGAAAACCCCCATGTCTACTCCAAAAAAGAACCGCTGAACTTTGCTCCCAAGCCTTAAACCTTGCATATTCCTATCCAAGAACTTCACTCAAAACCCTAGGCTAGACCCGGAGCCCTACACCCTGAACCATCCTACCCTAAACTTAAAAAACCCTACACCCTAAACCCTAAACCCGAAACCCTAAACCCCAAACCCCAAACCCTACACCCCAACCCCCTACCCATCCGTGACCTCGAGCGAAGGTGAGTTCCAGCGGGCGGTGTCGCTCGAGAGCCAGCTGCAACAACGGCTGGGGCCTCAGCCCAAACCCGCTGGAAGGATGTTTAGGGTTTAGGGTTTAGAGGGTTTAGAGGGTTTAGGGTTTAGGGTTAAGGGTTAAGGGTTTAGGGTAGAAAGTGGCACCCCCATCCATGGCGGTGTGCTAGACCAATCTTGAGTAAACTCAGAAACTTTCAAACAGATCTACTGTCTAGATCCTGTCAGGAGCGAAGGAGCTACGGTTCCTTTAAGGATTCCCTCTCTCCCCCCTCCCTCCCTCCCTTCCCCTCCCTCCCTCCCCCCTCCCTCCCTCCTCCTTTCTATCTTCCATCCTCCTTTCTCCCTTCCTCCTCCTCCCTTCTCCCTTCTCCCTCCTCGCCCTTCTCCCTTCTCCCCCCCTCGCCCCCCAGCTGTATATATATATAATGTGTATACATGTTCAAGCGACCTTTAAGGGCCCTTATTCAGGATCCACTGCCGCTACCACCTCAAGATGGAGAGTGCCCTTTGGTGCCCTTAGGTAGAGGAAATCTTGCACCATCTACCCAGACCCGTGGGAGGATTTTGAGGTACATCCCTTCAGGGTTCCTGGAAATTATCCACTAGTAGTTGATCGTATAGAAAATCGGAATTCTACTTTCCAGAGTCTGGTAGCATCCTCTGCAGTACTGCAGTTCCCAGGTAGATGGTTGATCAGGCGGGTGGTGCAACCTTTCCTCCATCCACTGTAGGCATAACTAGAACTAAACCCCACAAGTATGTAAACAATAACCCTAAACCCAGAATAACAGCCATAAAGGCCATAATTTTACATACATTTGGGGTTCAGGTAGGGATAACTAGAAGAGACGAGACGATGTAGTATACCTTGGAAGACCAAAGGACTATATACCCTACATCCTAAACCCCTAAACCCTAGACTCCCCTAAATCCTCAACCCTGAACCCTTAGACCCTACACCCCGAATCCCTAAACCTTAAACCTTAAACTCTCAAACCC